TGAATGAAAGGAAGGCATCTCCGAGCTACGATGCTCCATTTCAAACGCACGCACGGTGTCGGAGTCTAATTTCTTTAATGCTATATGGAGAAACACCACGTCCATAAGGTCATCAAACTTCAAATTCTTAAGTGCAGCCACCGATGCCACAAATTTATCGAGAAACTGCTCTAAGCCGTTGATGTTCGCGGATGATATAGGTTTAAGATCGAATATCTGGTTCAAATATTCGGAAGCTAACATTCTCCTATCTTCATATTTAGTTTTAAGCGTTTCAAATATTAATACGTAATTGTTTGCTGTAGGTGTAAAACCCGAGCAGATCGACTGTGCTCTGCCACTAAGTTTGCTAATTAAGTAATATAATTTTTCAGCGTCCGATAACGATGGGTTGTTGTGTATATTGTTTTGAAAACTACTGAAGAAGAAGGGCCACGTCTTAATATCACCATTGAATACCGGAATATCTATTGGCGGTAACCTAATTGAGTCACGAGGGCGTACCTGTATTTCCGGCTTTGCTTCGCTTTGAGATTGTAGGAGTTTTGCAGTTCTTTTTACGCGACACAACATATCTTCGAATGCCAGCAGCGGTTGGTAGTTCACTATGTATTTCGGGTCGGTTTGTAGTTCCGAATGATTAATTTGGTCTAATATTCTTTCGTAATCTGTCCGCAAATTATCTATCGTTTCGATTTCATTTAAAAAGGCCTCCCGCACTGCCTCTATATGAATGTTCTTTATATAATCACTTATATTTTGCATACGCGAAAAGAGTATGTCCCTCTTGGCATAAAGCGTTTTAATTTTGATTTCACTTCCACTAACTGCCATTTTAAATTATTATAATAAAGTTATATTAATCACAATTAATCTCACACGCATAAACGACGTAGGATGAATACTCGGCGTGCTGTATTACGTAATCAGATCGAGCGCCCGATGCAGTCAAGGCTACGCGTCGTTCGCTAAACCTAATAATTTTATAAAATTGTGGGGTAAGCGTATCAAACGGTTGCTATCACGCCGTTTCAATTATTTAATAAGCTTTAAATTTAACCAAATACGAGCGCTATTAAATGAATAATTCTGTTTGCGAGTAACAAATCAAAATTTTAATTTAAACGAACACTATTTAAGTCTATTCCATAAGTTAGAGTGCGTTATCTAAACAATTAATTTAATAATTCGACCAGAAAATGGTTGGATAACCACTAAACACCAATCCAGATCCTGCCGAAGTGACCATAAAATGGTGGAGCCACGTGTTTAAGGCTGCCGAAAATCTAGTTCCCCGGTCAAACCTCAAACCTATTACGCGAGATATTAACTAAAGTGGACTGTATATGCGATTGCTTCTACGCTTACGTTAAAAGCGACTACTATAGCATGCGGTACAATGCACTCGCTCTTCCCTAAACTAAACTATTACTTGTCGAATCGATGAAAGGAATCCTGCTTGACTAGGAAAAAAAACACAGATTGGAGCGGGTTAAATTATTAGCAAGCAGGTATAATTAAGGAGTATTGACTCACCGGGGTTTCTTCTTCCTGTCGATCACTATAGCGGCGACTTCCGGAACACTCCGGAGAGAGGCGGTGCGCGACGATATCTCACACGAGGTGAGGCGGGTTCCTGGAGCTCGACTGCTTCCAGGCCAAAGCGGTTTCCACTAGTGAGGTGTTTCCAAACGAGCGCGCGGGAAGAGGAGGTTGTAGTTCAACGACGACTGCGGCGGGAGAAGAGAGCGCGCGTCGGTCGCGCGTGTCTTATATATCCTCGGGTCCGATGATTACGCGATGTTCTAGAATCGTCTTCTTTCCCCTCCCACCCCACCACCCCGATGTGTCGATAGGAGGGTACGAATGATATTGTTTCGGAAGGGAATAATGATTCGACAAGTTCCTACCGTCAAAAATAAAAAAAACGCGAATGGTTTTCCGCGCAACCAGATTCAATTCTTTTTGGCGCCGCACTGGCAGTATGCCGTATTATTGGCGCCAAACTTCCCGTGGCTGGACGTGCTACTCAAAAAAGTAGCGCCATCCCAGCCTGGAGAAAAAGAATTGAGGACCGTATCGCATAGGCAAGGGCCCTTATCGGCAGACTGACAAGCTTCAGGTCGGGTAATAATAGACCGAGGATTGTGCGCACCGTAAGGATGGCGTTTGCTGGGACAAATGTCAGTTTGTCCCAGCAAAGCAAAAGATCGCTGCTTGGGGGAAGCGGATTCGACGATTTTTCGAGGGGTCAAGGCGGTTCAACCAGAATCGTATCTTCCAGAGTGATCAGAAGAGGCTCTGTAAATCATTAAAGCGACCAAAGGTATGTGGAGCGGGCCTAGTATCGGATGAGGCTGACATTATCGCATTCTGGCATGGCCTGTGGTCAGAGCCCGTAAACCACAGCGAGGGCCCTTGGATGGAAGTTGTGGCGAGCCAGGGTGCGAGTGTTACGCCTATGGACCCCATCACAATAACGCCAGAAGACGTGGCTGAGGCGGTTCGTGGGGCCCCCGAACTGGAAAAGTCCGGGGCTCGACGGGCTGCATCATTACTGGCTGAAGGGGTTCATAGTGTGTCACGCTGTGCTCGCCCGACAGTTTCAAGAGGCTCTCGACCAGAAGTCACTACCGAGCCTCTTCACTACTGGGATCACTCACTTGGTTCCTAAAGATCAGTATACCACAGACCCGAGCAAATACCGCCCCATCACGTGTCTACCCACCATATATAAGACACTGACATCCATTTTGAGCGCGAGAATCACTCGTCACCTGGAGCTAAACCAGGTGATGTCACGCGCTCAAAATGGATGTCGGGGCGGTGGTCGTGGAACTAAGGAACCACTCCTCATTGACGCGGTCATAGGCAAAGTGGTGAAACGCAACCGTCGGAACTTCTCTGCCGCCTGGATAGAATACAGAAAAGCGTTCGACTCGGTGCCCCATACATGGCTAAAGAGGGTCCTCGAGCTGTACAAGATTGACTGTACAGTTAGAGACTTCCTCGAGCAGTGTATGGGGCAGTGGAGTACGATCCTTTGTCATCTGGGCGAGCGGATGACGGCTGCGGAGAACCACATAAGGATAAGAAGGGGTACCTTCCAGGGCGATTGTCTGAGTCCAAACTGGTTCTGCCTCTCACTTAACCCTCTCAGTATCTTACTGGAGGGCTCCGGGAGGGGATTTCAGCTACGGAAAAAAGGGACAAAAGTGACCCACCTTTTCTATATGAATGACCTCAAGTTATTCGCCTCCAGTCGCTCCCATCTTATGGAACTGCTAAACATCACTTGTGAATTTAGCAGTTCCATTGAAATGGAGCTGGGGACGGATAAGTGTGCGGTCCTCCATGTTGAAAGGGGAAGGGTTGCTAACTCTGAGGGCATAGACTTGTCTATGCCCGTCAACTTAAGCACCCTTTCCGAGGCTGAAACATACCGATACCTGGGTATGTCACAGAACATCGGTATCGATGAGGCTGGTATGAAACAGTCAGTTTGCGACGTGTTTTATGCACGCTTGACCAAAGTGCTTAACAGCCTTTAGTCCGGTGTGAATAAGTCACACGCACATAACTGCTGGGTCATGCCTGTCCTCATATATACCTTTGGCATACTCAGGTGGACTCAGACTGAGCTTAACGCCCTGGATAGAAAAATCCGCACTACCATGACGTCCCATAGGATGCATCATCCGAGATCGTCGCTAATGAGGCTGTACTTGCCGCGAAAGCATGGTGGGCGTGGCTTCCTGAGCGCGCTCACCATGCATAAACGCGAAGTGTGCAGCCTCCGTCATTACTTCCTGGCGAGATCGGGTGATCAATTCTATGATGGCGTCATTTCTAGTGATAAAGGACTTACCCCTCTATCCTTAGCCAACGAGCAATGGCAAGACCCGGCAGTACAGAGCATTTCCGACCGGGAGACCGTATGGAAGGAGAAGGAGCTCCACGGGAGGTACTACAGGGCTCTATATAATCCTCACGTTGATACAGCCGCCTCCCTCAACTGGCTACGTTTCGGTGACCTCTTTGGGGAAACCTAGGTTTTTGTCTGTGCAATACAGGATAAAGTTATTAAGACCAACAACTATCGGAGATATATTCTAAAGGATGGCACTGTCGACGTCTGTCGAGCTTGTCGCCATCCCGGGGAGTCACTTAGACATGTCATCTCCGGTTGTTCGGCGCTTTCTAACTTTGAGTACTTGCACAGACACAACCTAGTAGCCAGAATTCTACACCAGGAGCTCGCTCTGAAATACGGTCTCGTGGACCGGAAATTGCCGTATTACAAGTACTTGCCGGAAGCCGTGCTCGAAAATGACCGCGCCAGGCTCTACTGGGACCGGGCCATCATCACAGACAGGACTATTCTTGCGAATAAGCCTGATATTGTGCTGATGGACCGGGCACAGTCAAGGATATTTTTGATCGACATTACCATTCCGTATGACGAGAACCTCGTGAAAGCCGAAACAGAGAAACGAACAAAATATCTGGACCTGGCTCACGAGATGACTGACATGTGGGGTGGTCTGCCGACCGAAATTATTCCTGTAGTCGTCTCCGCAAATGGGCTAATCCCAGTCAGCCTCTCGGGTCATCTGAGGCGACTGGGACTCCGTGACGGACCGCTCCGGGCTCAAATGCAAGGGGCGGTGCTCCTCGATACTGCCCGCATCCTCCGCCGGTTTCTTTCCCGTTCTCCCTAACCCTCGGCCGTTTGGTCTTCCCTGCCGAGGGCTCCCATCTGGTTGGATCTTATTTATTTATGTAGTTTTTGTGTTTATTTCAATTTATTGATATTTATGTATGTTTATCTTTTCATTTTAATTTATAATTATATATTTATAGAACCCAACCAGGTGAGAAAATTATATAGATACCTCAATAATTACAATTATTATTATAATAACGAACTCGAACGGCTACGACGTGAGGCTGTTCCCTCGTCGGATGAGAATGCTACGGCTGAGGATGCGGCGCCACAAATGGTAGAGCAACCCGCAAACGTGAATACCCCAGTTGTGGTTGATTCAAACGATGATGGAACAGTTGCCCAGGAACTGGAATTAGAGCATATGAGGAGTACATTGGAAGAGGCGATTGTGGAAACTCGCAGTACGCCTCTCGAAAATCGACCGCGACTTCCCCGCATAGCCCTAAGCAAGCGGAATCGGGCTGTCGTGAGGGCTCTGAACCCAATGCTGGTGACCTATTTGGAAGCCAGCCGGGACCTTTGCGAGACGGACTCAATTCTTTTTGGCGCCGCGCTGGCAGTCTGCCGTATCATAGGCGCCAAGTTTTCCACGGCTGGACGTGCTACTGGCCATAGTAGCGCTATCCCAGCACGGAGAAGAAGAATTGAGGAACGTATCGCAAAGGCTAGAGCTCTCATAGGCAGACTGATATGCTTCAGATCAGGCAACAACAGGTCAAGAATTGTGCGCACCGTCAGGATGGCGTTTGCTGGGACAAATGTCAGAGTTAGAAAGCGCCGAACAACCGGAGATAACATGCCTAAGTGACTCACCGGGATGGCGACAAGCTCGACAGATGTCGACGTTGCCATCCTTTAGGATGTATCTCCGGTAGTTGTTGGTCTTAATAACCTTATCCTGTATTGCACAGACAAACCCCTCGGTTTCCCCGAAGAGATCACCAAAGCGTAGCCAGTGGAGGGAGGCTCCTGTGTCTACGAAAGGCTCATGTAGAGCCTTGTAGGACCTCCTGTGGAGCTCATTCTCCTTCCATACGGTCTCCCGGTCGGAAATGCTCTGCACTGCCGGGTCTTGCCATTGCTCGTTGGCTAAGGATAGAGGGGTAAGTCCTTTATCACAAGAAATGACGTCCTTATAGAATGGATCATCCGATCTCGCCAGGATGTAATCGCGGAGGCTGCACACTTCGCGATTATGAATGGTGAGCGCGCTCAAGAAGCCACGACCACCATGCTTCCGCGACAAGTACAGCCTCATTACCGAAGATCTCAGATGATGCATCCTATGGGACGTCATGCTAGTGCGGACTTTTCTATCCATGGCGTTAAGTTCAGTCTGAGTCCACCTGAGTATGCCAAAGGTATACATGAGGACGGGCATGACCCAGCCGTTATATGCTTGTGTCTTATTCACACCGGGCAAAAGGCTGTTAAGCTCTTTGGTCAAGCATGCATAAAACACGTCGCAAACTGACTGTTTCATGCCAGCCTCATCGATACCGATGTTCTGTGACATACCCAGGTATCGGTATGTTTCAGCCTCTATGCCCGTCAACTAAAGGGTCCTTAAGTTGACGGGCATAGATAAGTCTATGCCCTCAGAGTTAGCAACCCTACCCCTCTCAACATGGAGTACCGCACACTTATCCGTCCCCAGCTCCATTCCAATGGAATTGCTAAATTCACAAGTGATGTTTAGCAATTCCATAAGATGGGAGCGACTGGAGGCGAATAACTTGAGGTCATCCATATAGAAAAGGTGGGTCACTTTTGTCCCTCCTTTCCGTAGCTGAAATCCCCTCCTGGAGCCCTCCAGTAAGGTACTGAGAGGGTTCAGAGAGAGGCAGAACCAGATTGGACTCAGACAATCGCCCTGGAAGACACCCCTTCTTATCATTATAGAAGGTGGGCGTGGCTTCTTAAGCGCGCTCACCATGCATAATCGCGAAGTGTGCAGCCTCCGTAATTACTTCCTGGCGAGATCGGATGATCCATTCTATAAGGACCTTATTTCTTGTGATAAAGGACTTACTCCTCTATCCTTAGCCAACGAGCAGTGGCAAGACCCGGCAGTGCGGACAATTTCCGACCGGGAGACCGTAGGTTCTACAAGTCTCTACATGGGCTTTTCGTAGACACAGTAACCTCCCTCCACTGCCTACGCTTCGGTGACCTCTTCGGGGAAACCGAGGGTTTTGTCTGTGCAATATAGGATCATGTTATTAAGACCAACAACTTTCGGAGATACATCCTAAAGGATGGCACCGTCGACGTCTGTCGAGCTTGTAGCCATCCCGGTGAATCGCTTAGGCATGCTATCTCCGGTTGTTCGGCGCTTTCTAACTCTGAGTACTTGCACAGGCACAACCTAGTAGCCAGAATTCTACATCAGGAGCTCGCTCTCTATTACGATCTCGTGGACCGGAAATTGCCGTATTACATGTACTTGCCGAAAGTCGTGCTCGAAAATGACCGTGCCAGGCTCTACTGGGCCATCATCACAGACAGGACTATTCTTGCAAATAAGCCTGATATTATGCTGATGGACCGGGCAAATCAATTTCGTATGACGAGAACCTCGTAAAAGCCGAAACAGATAAGCAAACAATATATCTGGATCTTGTCCACGCAGTGACCGACATGTGAGGTAGTTTGCCGACCGAAATTAATCCCGTCGTCGTTTCTGCAAACGGGCTCTCGGGTAATCTGAGGCGGCTGGGGCTCCGTGACGGACCGCTCCAGGCTCAAATGCAGAAGGCAGTGCTCCTCGTTACTGCCCGCATCTTCCGCCAGTTTCTTTCCATTTCCCCCTAACCCACGGCCGTTTGGTCTCCCCTGCCGAGGGCCTCCATCTGGTTGGGCTTTTATTTGTTTATGTATTGTTTATTTATTTATTTAAGTATATGAAATATATATTTATGTATATTTATCATTTCCTTTTATATATTTATTCAGCTCAACCAAGTGAGAATACTCGTACACTACCAATACCCCAATAATAATAATAAAAGTCTTTATTTGTCTCAATATATTACAAATTCTTAAAAATAAACAAATCTTATTATGCTAGTTGGAGACAAAATGGTCTATGGCTCAGTGAATGTAGGAGACCCACAGACCCTGATATTCTGCCAAAGCCTAAAATTCATGCATGGTAGTCTGCATATAGTAGTAGGACCAAAAATCCTCTCGAAAGAACATCGATTCCAACCGAGGATGATACTTGAGGCTATTGAAATTCCATACATTGAACATCCTAATTTCAGTAGAAAAAATGGTTTGTACTACCACCTGCTTGGGACCCTATAATTAATAAAACTAAACCCAAGCATACCACTGTAAGACTTCAAGACACAGTAAGTTCATTCTACGTAGATCGGACCACTGACATCGGGACGTCAGTCACATCAGTCCCCCGTGGCCATGGATGCTAAAAAGCACCTAAAACGTCGGATATTAAAAATAAAATAAATTAAACGCGATGAAATCCGTAACAAAATAAATTTTAATCAATTTGTAGTGTTCGCGTAAATATAAGAAATCATTGAAATCAATAATGCTCGGGTCGAGCATGTCTTAGGAGAGGGCAGTGTTGCAAGCCATAATTAATGCCACTAGCATCATTTAGATTCGAGTGGCAGAAGTAGGAGAGAACTTTCTACATCTAGTCGGTCTGGACCGGTATGTACTCGAATATTCTAGATTTTTCAGTAGAAAAGGTCCTACATAAGACTGGCATTAACCGCGACCGGGGGCAGTTTAGATTTAACTATACAAGCGAATACTTTGAAGCGACATAACTGCGAACTAAAGTGTTAAGTTTAATTGATAATTAGTGTCTTTTAAGTTGTACTTGATATTCGGTAAATAAAGTGTCAATTTCGGTCATTCAATCGGTAGTTTTTATTGTCACGAACCCTAAGTTCATAACACTATAAAAATTAATATGTAAATGCGTTATCACACCTAAGGATTAAGATAGAATGCCTCGTTTTCACTAATAAGGGTCTCCGGTTCTCTGCGCTCGCCATACGGAACACAACAACATTATGCTGCTATTTTACACTATGATTTTGATTCTTAATGTGAGAGTGTGATTCTTCCTTAGTCGGGCCGACCCATACGTGGTACATACCGTAAGAGATGCAGTGTGGCTTTGCCTCGTATATTTAAAAACAGTACACTTAACTGATTGAAATAGTAATATAACGTTAAATAAAACAATTTCACACTTACATAATAAGCACACATTGGCAGAGCTAACGATGCTAAAGCGTTTATTCCTACGCATATTACTGTTAATATTTTGCCGCCAAACCTATTTGCTAGCTCTCCTGCAGCTATTTGCAGAATCAAGTAACCCCAGAAGAATGATGACAGTATCACACTTTGTACTCGGATGCTCCAATCGAAGGCCTGAAACGATATTAGGTTATAGAATCTTTATGATTATAATAAATTACCGAAACATGGGACCATGTCACACCTATGTCGGTAGTTGTTAGAGGCATTACGCTAGAAGTTGTAGTAGAGTATATTTAACTGAGACAAATGGTCCAATTAAGTATATCCAACTTCGACCGAGAGGTCAATCAACGGATGCAACTCGGCTTTCGACTTCTATTTAGGTGTACCTCAAAACTTCAAAACGAGATTGTACAACCAGTGCGTGTTGCCAGTGACGACTTATCGACCTGAGATGTGGTTCCTTATTGTTGGCCGTATGAGGAAGCCCAAGATCGCCTAACGAGCTATGGAAAGGGCTATGCTTGGGATTTTTCTGTAATAAACTTAGAAATAAGGTTATCCGCATTAGAACAATAGTAAGCTGAAGTGGCAATGGGCCAGCCATACAGCTAGAAAAACCAACAACCGATGGGGATATAAGGTTCTCGGAAAAGTGCGGGTGACCCCCCACTAGATGGAATGACGAACTGGTAAGCCATGCAGGAAATTTATGGATACTGATGGCTTAAGACCGTGCTTTTATGGCATTCCTTGGGGGAGGTTTTGTTCAGCCTTTTGGAGATTTCAAGACTTTTGAAGCGTTGTAATGTTAATAATGATGATCGAATCATGAAATTAAATACCGCCATCCATCCAATGCCTTAAAATTTTCATATCTTAATAATAATAAGGTGCCCCAGACTGCATTTCGGATCACGGTGGCCAGTCTCAACGGAGACCAGCAGATATGCTTGGGACAGAATTATAGTGAACGATTGTATGCGCAAGCACAGGTAGATCCTCTATTTCCTCACTCTCGTAAGTCGATGGGACAGCAAACCCACACGACCGCAGAGAGATCAGGCGCAGGACCAATGACTTCACGTGCTTTCCTAGGCACAGTGGTAAAACACCACCAACTTCCTGATTTCTGGCGGGTACTGAAAATTTCTTAAAAGAACACTGAGTAACCGATTTTGGTAGACTTTTCTGACTAGCACACGAGTTTACGACCATAAGACTAACAAGACAGTTGGCTTTTTGTGCCACCCATGAGACGAAATGGGGTAATGAAATATCTTCTGCCGTTACACGGCTAACGGTCGTGATATATCCCTTTCGTTTAGAGCACACGAGAAACACCAATAGCGGTGACGAGCAGTAATTTTAAAGGTGAGGGACATCTGGTACTGCAAACGTCAATCCGCCTTCCTGATGTTACCACTAAAATGAAAGAACGGATTTTGATAGACGGATAATAAATTCCAGACATTTTTGGCACTTTACAGCACCATGGTCACGGTTGGGGGTGAGGACTGAAATGTTTGACAACCTGATGTCATAGTGAACTATGAGTGTGTT